GCCCGGGAGAACCTTGATCTGGTAGATGAAGTTAAATAACTCCATCGTGCACTCGGCCCCGTGCCGAGCGCATATCTGTGGGAAGCAGGCCAAGATCCGATGTGCGTTCGGGCAGATCTGGGCCGGGACGACTCGGTAATAGGCCAAGAAGGCATTTAGGAGGGGGGTGAAGGGAATGGCGATCGGGGCTGTCAGGGAGTCATAGTGCATCCCGATCCACTTGCCCCGATGCCTGTCAATTACATTTCCCAGCTGCCGGCTCGTGTCGAATTCTGCCCGACCCCTGAGTATTTCGGCAATCCGAGCCGCCTCGCCTTTGGACAGCAGGCTCATTTCTTGCTCGACGCTCTCGCTGTTCAGGAACTCGAGCTCGACGGTTGGTCCGGCCGGCCCGGCCGGGTCTTCTTCGGTCTGCTCGGGGGTATTTTCTCGATCACCCCTCGAGGAGCAGCTTCCGGGTGGTCCCCAACCACCCGGGTAGGCGTTTCCCTAACGCCCTCGGTTGGAGAACCCCGCCCGCTTGACGTGGCTCTCTCTTCTTCTTCCTCGCTGGAGCTCCCCGATCCGCTCGAACTCGAGCTTGACGATCCTGAGGAGCTCGATGCATTGTCTCGCTCGGCGGCTTGCTCGGGGGCTGGCGTCGCTCGGGGACTAGCGTCCGGGGTGTAGGACATTATGTCCACCTCCTCGTCGCTGATGCGCTCGACCTCCTCGTCGTAATCAGCAATCGAGGCGTTTTGACTGTCCGAGTCTGTCATATCGATCTACCTAAAGGTCGGTCGGAGTTAGTAAGGACTTCAAACGTCCGGGACAGTTAGTTGACCTAGCAGTTCTACCTATGAATGAGTGCCTAAAGTAAAGAGGAGGGTGAGAGCTTACCGATTGAAGGAAGATTGAAGTTTGAAGCTTGAAAGTTGAAGTTTGCTTGCTCGACTGCCTTGCTAAGCTGCTCTGCTCGGGACTCTCTGAGGGTACCGACCGATGCGAAAGAGTGAGGAAAGTTCAAATGAGGGCCTCAAGGGCCTATTTATAGGAGGACATTTAGGCGGGAAATGGGCCAACTTGCCTGACACGACCCGCGCTGAATCCGAGACGACGGATGGGATCGCCAAGGCCGGCAGAGGCCGACACGTGGCGTAGAATGGAATGACAGCTGGCGGGTCGGCTTGGTGGCTGACGGTTGGGCTTCTTCATCCCGTCCCGTTTTTTCCCGACTGATCAAAAAGGCCCGGGCTGGGGGGCTCTTGGTAGGGAATATCCCGACCGACACAGCTTCACCACGACCGAGATGCCTTTGTCCTTTTGTCTATGTCTTTGCAGGTAACAGGTCGGGCTCCTTGAGGAGAACCCGGTCGGGGTCCGACCGGGAGTTGCCCGAGCGATGCTATGAACCCCGAGCGGTGGTCCTTAGGCGAGAGAGCTGGCTAAAGACACGTGGCGGCTTTCTACGACGACAGGCAGGGCACCCGGGAGGGGGACGCGTGGAGGCTACGTGGAGAGCATGCCGAACGGCCGGAAGCTTGTCTCCGGCGTCGCGGCTATAAGTACCCACAGTAGCTGCAGTGTAGGGGACTTTTGGACGATCGATAGGTTGTAACTAGAGACTCCCGACCGCAGTCAGTCGGTACTCAGGGCAACCAAGTAGATTGTACTTAGGAACTCTACCTTGATCAATAAAGAATTACTTGCTTTACTTGGTCTTGTGTTATTTATATTGCTTACGTAGAATTAGCAGTATCACATATTATATATAATATAGGGTAGAGGTGGGGTGGGGTGAGGGGGGAGGGCAGCTGACCCCCCAGCCTCCCCTCTGGCTCCGTCTATAGGGATAATATTAACTTTTTGTACTTTAACAAGTTAAGAAAGTAACTGGTGTAGGGTTAACTTAAAAGGACCCTTTTCAAAAATAAAAAAAATAAAAAACTTGAAGGGACCCACTACATAATATAATTAAATGTTACAGGCTGTTTGCAGGGTGGCACTACAGATTTTGTCCTGGGCACGTTGACAAATCATCCATGCATCAAATAGTATGTTTATTTTCAAGGAAAAAAGAAACAAACAAAGAAAAAAGTAATTTCTTAATTTGTCAGTTAAACAGGAAAAATGATATTTTATTTTTACATTTAACCAAACACAAAAAAATTAAAATATTTTTTTAAAAATAATCACTTTTTAAAAATCATTTTTCATATTTTCAAACCAACCCTAAATAACAAAATTATATTGACAATTGTACTGTATATAACTAAGTACTCCGTATATTGTTACTTTGTTTTATCTAATATTGTTGTCATCATAAGAAGCTCTATAACAATTTTTAAATTAAAAATAGTTATGTGTTACCAAATATATTGTGTTCAATTGACAATCTCTGTAACTCTTATTTATGGAATGAAAGTCAAGTATATTGAACAGATAATACATAATCGACAATACTAATAAAAAAAAGGACTTATGTGTCATTCCTTAATTTGACCTAATAATGTCCGTATCAAAAATCTTGTAACAACCCTTAAATTAAAAACAATCCATATTAAATTTAAGAACAATTCCAATTAAAGTAATCGTAGTCTCTAAATTAAGAGGACTATATATCTCCCCAAAATTTTAAAACAAAAATGAAAAATTTTAAATCCCATTTGCAAAAGTTCATGATACTGAGACTGGTTGAAGAATTATATTAACTTGAAAGCAGCATAAGTCTCTGATCTGGGGTAGCTGAAATGCAGCCCCACACCATTGATTTACACATGCCTTTGTTCAATCCCTTCCTTATTAGGGACGAGCATCTATATAAAAGCAGTTAAAGACTAATTGCCCTGGATAAACTCTGCTCATGTGTAATAGTTCGACGAGTTCAATCAAGAGGATATTCAATTCTTGGTAAAATTCTTGTATGTGTAATAACTGAAGGGTTAGATCGAGAGAGTTTCGACAATAATCGACCTCTTAATATTTTAGTATGAGAATTATACTTCACCTACTCGGTCATTTCTTTTAGGTACGTATATATAAACCAATTTCAAATATATATATATATATATATATATATATATATATATATATATATATATATATATATATATATATGTGTGTGTGTGTGTGTGTGTGTGTGTGTGTGTGTGTGTGTGTTTTAGATAAGGAGATTGTGCGAAAATGCTTTATATCATAATAAAGGCTAGGGTGTCATATAAAGTGTTATTCATCATCAATTTGGGATGGTAGCTAGTAAGGGGGATATATGTACAATTGCCAGGCCACTTGCATATTCACTTCTTTGATGTGACCTTCATTTAATCATTTATAGTCTATATAGCATTTTCACAATTTAATTGACAAAGTATCTTTGTTATCAACATCAAAAATTAATTACACTAGTCATATGTACTCTTTAATTTATATGATCGATAATATAATGGTAAGGGAATTCATCGATAGAGCAAAACACATGGAAGTCTTAATCTTGTGGACAATATGGGTGTGGTATGTGATGACCTCGTGATGTGTAGTTTGTATTGGTTTCTTTTCTTTAGTATCGAAAAGAAATGGAAAATTTTAATTAATTTAATAAATTGAAATTTAATCTGCACATTGTTTGAATTATATTCAAGAATCAAAATGTGTGTTGGGCACTTGTGTAGAAACTTGAAGAGCAATGTCTAGTATGCATTATATATGGTGTTAAAATGTGGCGCATATTATTATACAAGTATAATTTTTCGTTATTAGTTATACAATATACATCACAGATGGAACGCAACCCTGGCCTCTGATCTAAAAAGAGTAAAATTATCAAAATGGTTCATCAATTATTGTGATTTCACCGCTTTTGGTCATTGACTTCTAATTTCATACAATAATATCCTTAACTACCAAATTTATACTCCCTACATCTATTTTATGTATCTAGTTCAATTAATGAGAGGATTTAACTACTTGATGTACTTTATTATAATTTAATTTTTCATAATATTAAGTTTAATATTAATATATAAATTTCGCATTTTTATAAACTACTCTATAAATTAAAAGTATTATATTATTAAAAACAAAAAAAAAAATAAATTTAAAAATAATAAGAATTGTTTTGATGAATGAATAAAAATGCAACAAGTAAAATGAGACCAGACATATAAAGTAATTAACTTAGTTTTCTGAATATACCATTTTATTCATCAAACTTAGCTTTTACCTGACTTATTTCAATCATTAGGAAAACTAATAATTTATACAATTCTTTCTTCTATTTATTTTTATTTTTATTTTTATTTTTATTTTTATTTTTTGCAAAACAATATATAAATTCTAATAGTCAATGATTTGAGCGAAATTTAAAATTTAAACTGAAGTATTAATATTTACTATAGTAGAGAGAACATTTATGTGATTTACTCTTCTTTTAAAGCTCATAACATCGGACTGTGGGAGTGTAATGGGACATTTAACTACCATGCACTAAAAACTCACAAGCTATTGCTGCATCCACCGGTCCACGTACTCCACTGGATCATATGACTATACAATATTTACTTGAAGCAACTAACCTGCCAGCCTGCCACGCACTTCAATTCATCCCTTCTTCTCTGTTTAGGAAAAAAATTCACTAAGTCATTATCCGAGAATGTGCATTAGGTATACCTCTGTCTTGTGATCTTAACCAAATAAAGTTAAACAAGTCTAGTTTGTCCATATCTGATTTGCTCAAATCATGAAATTCAACAGGCTAGACGACTTTGTAGTTACTGAAAGACGAACTTGAAACTGTGTAGTTACTAAATCAACAATTCGACCAACTTGAATGAGTTGCCAGGCCCCATTTCTTTTTCTCTGTCTCTTTGATCGGCTATTGTGTGGATCTTAAAATAACAGCCACCCATCCAGTTTTAGAAAACCAGGATTTACTGCAACTTTGAATGCTCAGATCTGTCTGTCTGATCAAAGTGGTCCGGCCATATATGTCACTTCCCCGTCATCATTATGGTGCTTAGCTTATATATTAAAGAGAAGACCAGCTCCGATCGATCCTCAGTTCTTCACAATTTTTGTTAGTTGTATACTTGTATAGTAGCTAGGATATATGATGAGTTCCTCATCATCCCGTTGTTGTTATGGTTCTTGGTTGCCCAATAATCATGGTATCCTCCTCGGCCTGCTGGCTTTGACAATAGTGTTTTTTGGTCGGGCAGAGTGTCGGGCGTTCTTCGTTTTCGGAGACTCCCTGGTCGATAATGGCAACAATAACTACCTGGCCACCACCGCCCGCGCCGACGGCCCGCCTTACGGCATCGACTACCCCACCCACCGAGCCACCGGCCGCTTTTCTAATGGCCTCAACATACCAGATATCATTAGTACGTTACTGCATCATATCAGCTTGATTGAGTTCTCTCATTATGGTTGAGCATATAACCATTAATGTGCAATCCAACTGTCAGCTTAGACTTTTAGTTGAAATGGAACACATGCCTTCAATTTGCTTCAATTATTATTACATATTACATATATATTTTAATCCTAACTCTGCATGCATGCAACATCTATATATCATATCGGTTTCTTATTTTTTTTTTAAACAAAAAAGGTGAGAAATTGGGGATGGAGCCAACGTTGCCATGTCTGAGCCCAGATCTAAAGGGGGAGAAGCTTCTTGTCGGAGCCAATTTCGCTTCCGCCGGCGTCGGAATCCTCAATGACACCGGCGTTCAGTTTGTATGTTCATCCGGCCAGCTCAAGTTGATTATATTTCTCATAAATCTGCAATTTCTCATCTCATCATATATATATGTGTGGTTTTATTTAATTTGCAGATGAATATAATCAGAATTGGGAATCAACTGGAGTATTTTGAGGAATATCAGAGGCGCGTGAGTGATCTGATCGGCGCGGGTGAAGCTAAGCAGCTGGTTAACAAGGCCCTGGTGCTCATCACTCTCGGCGGCAACGATTTCGTCAACAACTACTACTTGGTGCCCTTCTCCGCCAGATTCCTCGCCAGTTCACTATTCCCGATTACGTTCCCTTTCTCATTTCCGAGTATCGCAAAATTCTTCAGGTCAACTCTCATCCCATACATTATAACATACATCATTTATTTATTATTTTTAGGAATAAGGTTCAAATTCACTAGTGAACCTGAAAATGCAATTAGACCACTGAATGAAAAAAAAAAAAAATGCAATTAGGCAACACTTTAAATGTATGCAATTTTACCTGATAGCAAGTTACCATCAATTTTAGCAAGTTACTTGTTTACGTGGCAGCTGAGTTGGCCACCTCGGCGTTTTTTTTTTAATAATAATTAAAAATTTATTAAAAATGCCAACTCAGCTGCCACGTAAGCAGGTAATCTGCTAAAATTGATGGTAACTTGCTATCCGGTGAAATTGCATACATTTGGAGTGTTCAGTGGCCTAGCTAATTGCACCTTTTTTTTTTTTTTTTTTTTTTTTTTTTTTTCGTTTAGTGACCTAATTGCATTTTCATGTTACGTTCAGTGGCCAATTTGAACCTTATTCCTTATTTTTATTATTGTTGCTCATAAAAGAGAAAATCTCTCGGTCCAAAGGCTGCCCCACATCATGGCTCGACAAGAATGTAGATGGTAATTAACTTATTGACATATTAAGTAGATGAGAGGATTAGTGTCTCGTACTCATAATGAGTTACCTCACAAAATGGTGAAACTCTAACATGTCAGCTTAAAAAGCACTAAGTTACTAAATATTTGAATTTAAAACTCAATTGAATATTTTAGTTGATTTAGAGAATTTGAATGCATTATTTATTTATTTATTATGTAATGAATTGTAGACATGACAAAAATGATGAAACTATTAAGGAAATGCATGGTTGTATACGTTGTCGGTTGGTGTGGTAGGCAGAGAATTAAATGGTTCCTATTTCACTTCACCATTAAAGCTCACTGCTCCCTAACTATGCATTTAAATGGTTCCTGAGACACAATTTAATGTCCCACCAGCTATATATGTACGACACCAACACAAATATATAAGATTTTTTTTTTAATGTTTTGTGACATTTATATTCTAAATTTTGAATTTTGTCAATTTAATAATAAATATTTGCGTGACAAACATCATGAGACATAAAAGTATTAGATACAATTGTCCAGGACCCTCTGATTTTGTTCCTTTAATTATTAACTACAATGTTCTTATCTTTAACTAGTTAGATTGTGTATGTCTTGAAAATCAAAATGAGTAATCAAGTGAGAGGAACATGATTCTGATACATGAATGATCATAAGTTTGGTTCTTTTTAACACACTCTAATCCAATTAGTTACACATACAGGATCTTCCTAATCCGATTGTTTATGGACTATTATAACCTAATCCAACTAATCACATCTTAATGTAATTTACCCCTCTTATGTGATTTGCAGACTATTACAAAGGAGTAGTGTTTACTTAATCTAACCAGTCGCATAAGATTTTCATAATGCAATTTACGTTTCTTATGTGATTCGCGAATATTATATAAAAATAAGATTTATCTCGTACACACTTTTAAATTGTAAATACATACAATTTTTTCAATAGTAAAATTTACCATATTACACTATCGAGTAGTGACTACAGATTTTATTAATCACCCAGAATGCAAGAACTAGTCCAATCATGGGTTCACTACTCTAAGATAATAATATATACACAATCATACTCTAACACTAACAATTTAGGAAATAGATTATATTTCATAATTTGGTTGAAAGAACATTTACTATAGACTCACCATTATTATTATTATTTTATTTTATTTTGCAGAGACTATATGATTTGGGAGCTAGAAGGGTTATTGTTACAGGAACCGGACCAATTGGGTGTGTACCTGCGGAGCTGGCTCAGAGGAGCCGAGCCGGGGAGTGTGCTGTTGATTTGCAGCGCGCCGCTGCCTTGTTCAACCCCCAGCTCACCCAAATGTTAGCCGAGCTCAACAGTGAGCTCAAGGCCGATGTTTTTGTAGCCGCTAACACTTACAATATGCACATGGACTTCATCTTCAACCCTCAAGCATTTGGTACTTCCACTCAATTCATCTTAATCTATTTCTCCTAATACATTATAACTTACCATGCATCAAGGATGAAAATTGCCATTCCTCATAAAATTTTGAGATATATATTTTGGCCCTATAGGCCAATTTTGGCTTATTTAACAACTATTAATGATTTGATTTTGTTAAAATATCAATATAAGTGTTTGGTTAATTAGTTTTTTGCAATTCCAAAATGCTAAAATTCAAAAAGCTACTCCAAGTAACTTTTTCAATTAGATTTTTCAGAAAAGAAATTATACCAAACAACTATCAGCTAACAGTTAATTTACCAAACACTTTTATACAACAGTTAATGTTATCAACTAGTTATACCATCTAATTAACACAATCAGCTAACAGTTAACAGCTATCCGCTAACAGATATTAACGAAACAAGGCCTTTAAGTTTTAATTTTCTTGTTTTAAGTACGTATTTGCGATGTTACAGGATTTGTGACTTCAAAAGTAGCATGTTGTGGGCAAGGACCATACAATGGAATAGGACTATGCACGCAGGCATCAAACCTATGCCCAAACAGGGATATCTATGCGTTTTGGGATCCATTCCATCCATCGGAGAAGGCAAACAGGATAATTGTGCAGGGGATCTTCAGTGGCTCCACGGACTACATGCACCCAATGAACCTCAGCACCATCATGGAATTGGATTCTAGGACCTAATTAATTGGTTAATAAATATATTGTAACGTTACGTTACTGTTATTTTTTTTATCTGCCAATTATTGTATCCTTGGAATTGTCATTATAGCTAGAGGGCATGCCCGCATATGGTGCTTTTTGGTTAATTTGTATTCCTTAAAATCGTGAAGTTAATCGATTATTTGACGTTTAATTGGGATTGCAATAAATAAATATTTATTATAAAAAGTGTCAAATAGGTCATCCAAGTTTTACTACAATGTAATAGAGCCAGTAACTTTCAAAAAAAAAAAAAAAAAAAAGGTCATCCAAGTTTTACAGGTTATGCAAGACCATCATATATATCAAACAAAAAAATTTGCAATTAGACTATTTAATAATAATATTTTATACAATTAATATTATTTATAGGTAAACAATAAATTTCCAGTAAACAACAAATTAATTAAAGTTGCCTTCTAGCTCCTTCATTAATCTGGACAGAGGATGCAAAGATATCTCTTCTGTCCAGATCAACGGAGGAGGCGGACTCCTCTTCATATGTCAAAATCTACGAAGGAGGAGTCAAAAGTCACTAAACCATAGTTAAAAAAAAAAAAAAAAAAAAAAAAAAAAAAAAAAAACACTTCTCCTTTTCCTTCTTTTGCATTAGGGTCCTTTAAGTCTTCATCAATGCCCTGTTTCGGGAGGACTTGTAGAGACTTTTTATAATATTAAGTTTAGTATTTATATATTACTCCTTAAAATTTATATTTTTAAAAATTATCATAAAAGTATATTAAATACAAAAAATTCAATTTAAAAATAATACTAAAGAAAACAAGCACAAACGAGAGTTAATTTTAACTTGTGAACAAAATACATGTAAAATGCGATATATAGAGTATGTATAGTAGTAAGAAAAAAAAGGAAGGAATAGAATTTTTTTCTTAAATGTCTCCGGCATCAAAATCTATCAACATATTCATATATATACGAACCGGATCGGGCAAAGTCTCTACCGAAACACCACAACTGATGTAGGAGCCATGCACCATGAAAAGTGTATATGTAGTTTATAGAAAAGACACGAATACAGTAAACACAAGTATATAGCATCCAGACCTAAATCATATTCAACTCTGGAATTGAAGTTGATTTTGTTGAGGATATAATATATATAAATATAAATATGCAATCAACTATCAATTTAGGCTTTTAGTTGAGATGAAACACATATATGCTTCAATTAGGTATCAGAACCATGCCAAAGTTCTTGGGTCCGCGTCACCCAATAAAAAAAGAAATCCACGTATTGCTTGGAACTCATAAAAAAAAATCAGTCCGTACATTTGAGTGAGTGTAACATAACACTACTTTATTGTTTATAGTAACAAAAGACTTAAGAATCAAAACCTATCAACGTAGTTACATCTTCGATATCCCATATTTCATTAAAATCCATAAACTCCAAATTCGGTTCCGGTGAAGTCTCTGCCGGAAAGCCAGAAGTGGTGTAGGAGCCACCATCCGTATCCCCGGCCGGTGCTGCCAATAATGTCTCCATTGGAACACCCTCTGCGATTGTCTCCACAGGAACACCAACAAAGAATGAATCGAAATCGAAATCATCGATACCCTCTGCGATCGCTGTCTCCATCGGAACATCAACATTAATGTCGTCTGGATTCATGTTATCCGCCGGTGCCAATAATGTATCCACTGGAACACCAACAAAGAACGAATCGATATCATCGTTTCCCTCTGCGATTGTCTCCACCGGAACACCAACATTAATGTCGTATGAATTCATAGCATCCGCCGGTGCCAATAATGTATCCACTGGAACACCAGCAAAGTATGAATCCATATCATCATCATCCTTTCCATCTCTGATCTGCAATATCGGTGTTTCAACGGGAACCGGAACGGGAACGGAAACAACAGCCTGGGAATCGACTCTATTTATTGATAAAATGACTACAATCTCCATATTTAGCTATTACGCAAATATAAATTAGAGGGGTAATAATGTAATTTAACATTATTATCTATATATCTATATAATAAAGTTATAGGGTTTGGGTAAACCCTACAATTATTTGACACGACCTATTAACATGACACCAACAATAAAATAACATGTGTAGTGTTTAGCCTTAACGTGTTCCACGTTATTGGTTAACCTGAGCATATTAACAAGTCAACCTGTTAAACCTATTAAAAACCTATCATATTTAATCTGTTAATATTATTGTGTTAACCCGTTTACATGAACCAACCTGCAGGTTTGCCGGCCAGGTAAACTGAAGGTTTGACTCATGCACGGCCAGTTCTTGTATTATCCCAACTAACGGTATATTCACATCTTTGTTAATAGGTGATTTCAGATTATTAATTGTATTGCAATGGCATTATATTATATATGCATCAGATTATGTGTGGAAATGATGGAGGGTATGCATGAATTAGTTAGGACTCAAATGAGACAAAAGAAATATAAAATAGAAAACAATTTTTTTTTTTTTTGTCTTTGAATTATGGGAAAATAACATTTTGTCCATTAATTACACATGCCATCACTTTTCATCAATTAATTTGTCTGCAATGTAGCTTTTTTGCTTACTGGTAACAATATTATAGGACAAAAAAAATTAGTTCAAAGACAATTGAGGGTGTGAAAACTGACAGCATACATAATTGAAATACGAAAAATATTATTATATTTTATTATAATTTAAGAATGAAAATTGTCATTTCTCATAAAATTTTGAGATATATATCTGTACGTTTTGGCATACATAATTGAAATACGAAAAATATTATTATATTTTATTATAATTTAAGAATGAAAATTGTCATTTCTCATAAAATTTTGAGATATATATCTGTACGTTTTGGCAAGAGGCATTAAGTTCCTCATGCATGTTTTAGGATGTCAAGAAATAATGAGTTTTACCCTTCCGAGTATACTATTTGAATTGTAATTCCCTCATAAATATCACCAATAGAATATAAAATGAAAAAATGATCAAATAGGCACATAAACTTTATATATTGAAAAGTTAATTATATCCTTAAACTTTTAAAAGTTATAATTATGTCTATCAATATGTTATTTTCTGTTGGTCCCGATAGAGTGTAGTGAGAGTCTAGAGGGGGGGGGGGGGGGAGGGGGGGGGAGGGGTGAATAGACTCTTTTCGTGTTTTGCCCTAAAAACCACCTTTCGGTGTTTTGGCGCAGCGGAAGTGTCAAATTCGATTATTTGCTTTGCACGAGTTTTCGTTGTAAAGAAAACTTTCGGTAATGATAATGAGGATAATATGATGCAAAAATGAAATGCGTAAGTAAAGAGACAAAGAGACGAGAGATTTTATAGTGGTTCGGCTAACGTTGCCTACTCCACTCTTCTTCCACAACTTATGGAAGGATTGCACTATCACTCGTTAGTACAATTACACAAAGACTTTCTTGATCACTAAGCCGGACAGCCTTCGTAGGTTTTTCAACTTCTCGAGTTTACTCCGCCTCTATCAACTTCTTCTTCAGAGTTGAGGTTGGTAGAAAATGATTTATGATTTCTCCAACTTGATGAAGTCTAGACTGTGTGAGATGATTGCTTCGTACAAATGGCAAGACTTCTTTAAGGTGTAAGACGATGATTAATGAACTTTTTCAAATATCTTAGCACCTTAACACTGGTTCACAAAAGCTTGAGAAAGCTGAGAGCTCGGGTGTGTTATGTCGTCCTCATGGGATTGGGAGATATGGCACGTAATACGCAATCACAAGAAACTAGACACTAGCACTAGACAATCAACAAGAAGCTAAGCAAACTACAAGTTTAAGAAAATGATAAGACTAACACATATACACAAAGATAAACACAAAATAAAGAAATAGGACTCAAGCTAGGGAGCATTATCATCTAGATGCTTTAACAACCTAAGGGATTAGGGAGAACAAGTAACCAAGGAATCAAGCGGGAATGCACGTAAGTATCCTAGTCTACGAACCATTCTCGTGATTAATAAACAACGATGATAACAAGGAATTGCCCCACTTTCGTGGTGAATCAATTCTAAGTCCATCAAGCACACAAAGCATCTAAAACCCCCAATTTCTCCTATTTTCGTAGGAAGAAATCAGGTCTATGCATGGGGTCGCTTGGATTCATCATCCAACTCTCATTGAGGCAAGGAATCCTCCAAAAATAAGCTAATGAATGTGTACATCAAACATTAACAAGATATAAATACAAAACCTTCACAAACACATGAACCCTAGGTTGAAGTACTTCCCCTTTTTTGCAATAATCACAAATCAAGCATCAAGATAGATAATACAACCTTAACTCAAGTCTATAAACTAACTACTCATGATTCAATAGCATAAAGAACACAAAAACATAAATGTAAAGCATAAACATTGCAAGATAAAGAGATAAAAGGGTGAATAAAACTTCACTAAGAAATGGATGGTAAATCTTGAAATCCAAGTGTTGAATCCTTGATTACAAGCTTGAAATATGTTAAGAAACCTAAATCTAAACCTAATCTAACACTACAATATGAAAGGAAGTGAAAGAGAGAAGCTAGGGCTCAACCATGTGTCAAAATCGAGCTAAAATGAGTGAAAAACGGGATATATAAAGTTGCAGAGGGCTGGCCATGGGTGTGGCCACGGGCGTGGCTTCACCCGTGGCCAGAAATGCAGTTTACACTGCCCAGTGGCCACGGGTGTGGCCACAAGGCAGTGTGTACTGCATGTGCACTGAGTATGTATTCTAGGTCATTTTTCACCTTCGAAACGTTTGAATTAGCCTTTGGTTATTGAATCAAAGTTGTATCCCTTCAAGTTATCTTTCCAATGACATAAGAATCACTTCAATTGGACATTTGTAGCTCGATATATGATCCAAAGACTATGACATCGACGTGCAGGTCGGGAATTTCAATTCTATGATCTTTTGCTTCTCTTTTGCTTTGGTTTGCTCAAATGACCAAGAGCATTGAAAGCACCACCCTTAGGCTTCCTTGGAAGTGTTTTGCCCATCCTCTTAGCTTTTCTTTGGCTCCCATGGACTCTAAATGCATCCAACATGATCTAAAATCCTTCATTTCTACTCAAAGATAATGAATTGTGCATAATGGATCAAATGAGCAAAATAAAGATCATTTTGAACAACATTGTGACACTTCATAAGCAAAACA